TATTATTATTTTCTTTCTTTCTTTCATTCTTCCTTTCTTTCTTTCTCTTTGAACATTTTAGTAAGAATCGAATAATTGATTAATTACTTTATTTCTTTTTTCTTTTTTTGTTAAAGGTTTTTTTCTTTCTTTTCTCAATAATTACGAAGATGAGAAACGTAAGAATAGATTACGGTACCTTCTTTATCATAGACAATGCAAGAAAACATAGTTATTATATTTCTCTATTGGATAATAAGAGTTTGATATATTCTGCATACTGTTATTGATCTGTGTAATGGATGTCCCATATAAGGATATCACACTTTAATTAGTTTTTGCCATTTACGTGGCGTGTTCATATATGTATGTATATGTATATGTATATGTATATGTATATGTTCTCCAATATAACTTCTTTGTCCATTCAAATGTTCTACGATCAATTAATTATATATATTGTCAAAGTGAATATGTAACATATAGATAAATTCATCCTGAATGAATTAAAATGCATACATATAATTCATTATTATTATTATTATTATTTTTATAAGTATAAGTTAAATTCAGGATAAATTTATGTAAGAGTTAAAAGATGATAAATTAAATTTCAAGTTTCATCTTTCTAATCTTAATAAATTCGTCAAACGTATTTGTGTAGGTGTATTTGTTGTGTGTGCATGCACACATTCGTGCAAATATGTATGCATCTGCATATGTGTCTGTGTGTGTGTGTATATGCATAGATACATATTAGGAACTGAAATACTTTTAGAGAGTGTTATATATATTTATGTACACACACACACGCGACAACACAAACAAATACATACATGTATATATAATATTTTGTTTTGTTGGTGATTATTTGAAAATATTTTTTCTTTAAGATCTTGGACATCTTGCCATCCAATTTTGACAAAACAATCAAACAATTGGGCTATAATACTGCCAAGATTAGTACGAGCGAAGATATTGAAACGTACGGCAGTTCTGTCTTCAGACGATTCCTGTTAAATCTTCAAAATATCATCATTAACGTAGCATATATTCTGGTGAATAATGCTCGCCACGCTGTAAAGAATAAATGTTATTCGTATATTTCATTTCATCAATGTTACACATAGAGTTATGTTAAGAGTGAATAGATATTAATGATTCCGAAATAAAATTAAAGTACACTCTTTTGTCCACACGTAGAATACCATATTGGGTAATAAATTAATCTGCAAAGGTTCATAAAATGTTAGAGAATGCAATCCTGTAAATTGTACAACTTTGCAATTTCTTTGAAAAGTTTCGGTAAATATTTGTTATACTTTTAGCAAACGGATTTTAATGATT